AAAGGCAGCTTTTATACCCACTTCAGACGCCCAAAGGCACACCACTTCGGTTCCGGTTGCGACCACTTTGTCAGATCGAATGATCAGTTCTGATTAGTGGAGCAAGGTCGATTTGTTTTTAGGTCGCTGAAGAAGAGAGATGTTTATGTTACAGGTAAGGACATATGGTTCAACCTCTTTAGGCTATGATTATAACTATCCAGCAATAATTGTAATCTAAAGAGCGTAACACTTTACTATTATTAAATACAACACTTTAATCGACCTTATAATTACAAACTGTAGTATCAACTCATAGATTAAAAATTTAACTCGATTCACATTCATTACATCATAACATTAGAAGTTAGATAATAATGTTATGGTCGAGTTAATAAATTAAAAACATTTTATATCATCCATTGAAAATTAATTGAATGTCTGTAATTAAAATAATAAGACTCGAGTATCAATCTCATTACTTCTAAAACACCTTGCTCAAAGGCGTAGTTTACCTTGCTTTGTTTAGCAACGCACGATACGTTTAGAACTTCTTTATTGTTACTCAAACTGATTATCACATAGTACAAGTTTAATAAAAGAATTACGATATTGTTAATAAGTACATTTGTTCTTTGTTTTTAAAAACAACCTTCAATATTTCTCAAATTTTCCCACTGTACTGGGAGAACGTTTATGTACATAAGTTTCAGACAGACATTTACCTATAGAACCTAAAGATCTACCAGTTGGTCACACATATACTATCATGTGTGGGAATTAAATCCGCCACCCGTGGGGCGAAACCAGTTTAAGGCTATTTCACAAATCAAAAACAGTTTAAGGCTATTTCTGCAATATAAATAATTGTTTCGTGTCATGATTTTAGCACGTTCAATTCCGTCTGATTAAAAACATATTTTATTACAAAACATGAAATAATGTAAAGTATAGTGAAAAGTATCTTTTCAGGTAAAATTTACTCATAAATCTTAAGAAGAATCGACTTTAGAGAGACTGTTAAAGAAAAATCTTATTCGCCAATCAAGAGTCACAGGGATTTTTAAAATAAATAATATAACTTGAATTTAAAGAAATGTCGCTCTGTTTCTTTCTTTGGTGAAATACGTTTTGTGTTATGCAAAATACACTCAAATTTCTATGACGGATTCCTTTATTAAATATATCAACAATGCGACCGTTAGATTCTTTCATAAGGTCATGAAAATTTATAAGGTATAATGCTTCCTATCGAACGTATGTAGATCTGATGAAATAATAAATCATGATCTAAATAAAATAATATTATTACTTTATGTATGGCTTATATAGTATTATAAAGGTTTCTTTTTTTAAAGTAATGTGTTTTTTGTTTTTTATTTCTTTTTTATCACGCCTTGGTTTATATTAAGGTTAGGTTAGGTTTAGCAACCTAAGTTCAAAAACTTAGGTTGCTCGAGTATATTGAATTAAAAGCGAGCGCCCTGGCACTGTACTATCAAGGCTCTTTGAAAGCAGAAAGAAGATTGTAATGTAATGTTTGATATCAATGGTTTTATGGACATTTATTTATTGCTTCAGATATTCATGCTCTAAATTTAAACTTTGTTAAGATACCCGTCACTGACAATTAATTGTTTACCTTAATAACAAAATGCTATTAGCAACAAACAAGTGCACTGTGAAACTTTGTTATATATTTATTGGATAGATAAAATATTAAAAGTTACGTTTTAGATTAGATTTACATTAAAAATTACAAAAAGTAAAAACTTTCACATATCAAGTGCCTTTTTTTAGTTCGAAACAAAACTATTTTTTATGCTAAACTGAATTAAATAAGCAGCGTACTAATTGGTACTTTGGTCAACTTTGGTTCGGTTTATTTACTGAGGTCAAACGTTCATTACAACGTTAAAAAGGCTTCCAATATATTAACACCAATTTATATTGTTAACAAAGTTTACCAATTTTGCATAAACGCAACACAAAAAGACGTCGACATAAAGGCGAAGCAATCCTTGCGCTATATTGACATGTTACAATTTGGCTACCGGTTCGTAAATGTTCGTGATCGCATTGTAGAGCCTCAGGGTTTTTGAGTGTAGTATTTAATCTCGGAATCAACACGCGTTAGCATCACTTTGTCAAGAGTTCTTGAGATTAAAGCAATGGCATTCAGTGTGAGCAATTAATTAATTATTTTTAGAAAAAAAATAACCATAACACCATTGATATCAAACATTACAATCTTCTTTCTGCTTTCAAAGAGCCTTGATAGTACAGTGCCAGGGCGCTCGCTTTTAATTCAATATACTCGAGCAACCTAAGTTTTTGAACTTAGGTTGCTAAACCTAACCTAACCTTAATATAAACCAAGGCGTGATAAAAAAACGTAAAATAATAAAAAACAAAAAACACATCACTTTAAAAAAAAGAAACCTTTATAATACTATATAAGCCATACATTTGTGACTCTTGATTGGCGAATAAGATTTTTCTTTAACAGTCTCTCTAAAGTCGATTCTTCTTAAGATTTATGAGTAAATTTTACCTGAAAAGATACTTTTCACTATACTTTACATTATTTCATGTTTTGTAATAAATGTTTTTAATCAGACGGAATTGAACGTGCTAAAATCATGACACGAAACAATTATTTATATTGCAGAAATAGCCTTAAACTGTTTATTTATTTCCTAAAGTTAATTGCAAAATTTGTTATTTGGGCATTATGATACCATAATCACGAAGTATATATAATTTACTGAGCTAGCGCTCTTACCATCAACGGGTGCATCGCCACATACCATTAAGGGGGATGGCAGTCGAGCGCTGATCAGTTTCGAATAATTATTATGACTACTTAACTATATAATAAAGTGATTATAACTACTCTTCACATACGTTGAAACTTAGTGTGTAGATAAATTTGGATAAATTTTAAGTTGGATAACTGAACCAATGGAAAACTTTTGAACGAAGAAAATAAGAATGAAAAAGGACCCAGCTGAAGTGAAGCACCGACGGTTGAAGAAGTTTGTAATCATATTTTAGAGCTCCTCAATGTAGTGGAATATAGATTTGACTAACCGAAAATCCTCGCAAAAGAACATCGATTCTTATTATTAGTAAGGTTGAAGTACATCGATGTAACTATTCACGAGAACTGCTGCCGACAAACTGCATCACAGTTTGGCAGAGAATAATTTATGTTATTGTACTTTATTACTGGATTAAATAAATTAAAAAAAAAATCCTCCCAAGGATGATCCGCGAGGCTATTTAAATAAAGAAACGTCCTAATTTCAATAAAGAAGATGCTTGGGGTTTATCATCTGCTTGGGATCTCATAATTTATAAAGCACACCAACATTGCTTGACCTCAAGATACGATAACCTCTTTTTGCGTCAATCAAATTAACCGAATAAAACTAATTAACAAATTAAGTGACGGTATCCCAGGTTAACTTTGAGGTCAAAACGTGAAACAACTGTTTGTCTCGTGACTCGTCGGGAATTAAAAATTAAAATTAAAACGCGATATAATCCGTAAACTAATTTCATTTAATACGACTTGTCGCAATAATATTAATAAGATAATAAGGCGTTATGTTTGTTTTACAACTTAAATTATAAAGACACTGATTTTTTATTTTATGTTCATTCGCATTTATTTATTTACTTAAAGACAAGTTTATAGATTGATGGTGTATCTATGAATACATATTTTGTATTCATGTAGTTTAAACGCCACATGACCGTGCGATTTATGCGATACATACAAGTAACGTAAAGTTAAGTAATAGCCTCTATATGTCCCACTCTTGGAAAAAGATTCCTCTGTCCAGAAGATTTTTTTATGGAATAAAGAGAGGTAAACGAGCAGGCGGCACACTTGATCGTAAGTGATCACCGCCACCCATGAACACCTGCAACAGGGGGGGCTTGCAAAGTTAGTTAAAGTCAAAAGTTAAAATCATTTATTCGAAGTAAGATTTTTTCAAACCGTTTTTCGATGTCTTAAAATTTGTCTTATAATATATGTCTCTCATGCCGTGCTGGAGTATCGGAACACGAAGCCTCTTTGTCATTTAAATAATCATCTAAGTTATAATAAGCTTTTTTAAACAGTGTCTGCTTTACAATAAATTTGAACTTTTTGTCCGATAGATTTAATATATCATCAGCAATTTTGTAGTAGCGCACACAGAGCCCCACGAATGAAGTCCTAACCTTAGCTAGTCTACAGCGAGGAAGAACTAAATTATTCTTGTTTCTTGTGTTACGGTCATGAATATCAGAATATTTACTAAAGTCATGGATATTTTTCCTAATATACATAATATTTGCAAAAATATATTGACATGGAACCGTGAAAATCTGTATCCTCTTAAATATTTTTTCAAGCGAGTCCCTACAGCGAAGTTGATAAATTTCTCTAACGGCTCTCTTCTGCAAAATGAAGATGGATTCAATATCAGCCGCTCAGCCCCATAGCAGGATACCATAATATATAATGCTATGAAAGTAGCTAAAATAAACTAATCTGGCTGTTGTTTCGTCAGTTAACTCTTTCTAACTGCATATGCAGTTTATCACTCGACCCCATCACGGATGGACTCCACTAGTAATAATAATCTCCAATATATAATTTTTATAACAGATATAGGTCTACAATTTCAATTTAATTTAACTCCTATGCAATTCGTAAAAACCAGTCCCATTAATAAACGAGCTAGTACTCGCGTAAATACACATATTTATTGTTCACTTTATTTCTTTACTCTAAAGGAGGCCGAAAGTGATTTTGCAAATGTCCTCTTACGCTGCTTTCTTTAATAAATTGTTGATATAGCGCCCTTGCTCTACTGATAGCTGAGGTGGAAATGTCGCCCAACGGCCGTCTGCCAAAATTGTTCGTTATTCATCGAGCCCGGGGCGTCGTTTGGGCATATAAAAACGAGGTTCACAAATATATCTGCATCATTCTAAATATCACACTTAGCACAGACGCAGCAATGACTTTCAGAGTGAGCTTTTAAAATACATATATATTACTTTTTTTCTGTTATTTTCTGATATTAACAAGTTCTTTAAATTATTTAAAATGAAAAAGGCACTGGGAAATGATTTCCGAATAAAAAAGGCACTTGAGTTTCGCAAAATTAAAATCATCGACACTGCAATAACTACTTATGGGTGATACAAATGTTTAAATACGTTAAATCACAGTTGGGTGTAGTCATGACGAGCTAGTGCTCGTCGAACGATATTTCGTAATCATTTGTCTATTTGGTTTATTTATTGATAATTTATTATTTGTTGTTTCTAGTTCGTCGTTCTCACGTGCCTGGTGGCAGCAGCTAGCGCCGGCTTTGTACCGGCTGCGCCCATTTCATACGCCGCACCCATCTACCGTAGTTATCAAGCGCCCGTGGCATACGCCGCTGCCCCTGTGGCTAAGCTCGCGTACTCCGCTCCCGTCGCCAAGGTCGCCGTCGAGGAATACGACGCGAACCCTCAGTACAGCTTCGCGTACGACGTGCAGGACGGTCTCACCGGGGACTCTAAGTCGCAGCACGAGACCCGTGACGGTGACGTCGTCCAGGGCTCCTACTCGGTCGTCGACCCCGACGGCACCAGACGCACCGTGGACTACACCGCCGACCCGCACAACGGCTTCAATGCCGTCGTTCGCAAGGAGCCCCTCGCCGTGAAGGTCGCAGCTGTCGCCAAGGTCGCCGCCCCCGTGGCTTACCACGCCGCCCCCGTAGCCTACTCCGCCCCAATCTACCACCACTAAAATAATGTTATCCGCAACCGATTGTAAATAGAACATGTAATTTATTGATCACTTATTAAAGTATCTTCACGTTACGAAATAATCATTTGCCATTAGACTAAGATTCTCACGGTGGAAATACATTATTCACTTACTTTCGCATTTTGGTGAATATAGATAAGAAAAGTTCTTTAACTCGACTATATTTATCGAAAGTCTGACTTATGATTCTTCGATCCACCTCAAAAAATTTCAATAATATGCCGTCTAAAATCATATCGTGGTTTATAAAATATGCCGTCTAAATCTATCATCTAACTTTACTACCTTATAGTCTAAAATTCGAACCTAAATCGACCTTCACCGAGCTGATAAAAGAATAAAATTTATTTTATAATAAATTTAGTATATTAGAAAATATATTAAAAATGGGTTGTCTAAAAAATTCCTGGACAGAATATTATTAATATTTTTTTTTAAATATGATTTTCGATGAAATGTTGCAACATCAAGATAATAAGAAAATATTATACTGACTTGCAACATGAAACATAAAGAATGTGCAGCCGTTAGGTTGTCTATTATTTACCTGGACGAACTACTGGGTTGCCAGGTGTAAACAGGTATGTCGGTATCAGTTACTTTCACAGATTGGATTAGAGAAAAAAAAATTATATCAACATAAGCGCCTTTTGATTGCGAATACGTTGATTTACGCTTGTATGGGAAAAATTCGGCCCTAATAAAGGTTTTCGAATTTTAAAGATTTAAATTTCCACGTGTGTGGAAGTGAGTGAAAGAGAGGTCCGAGATGAGTATACTATGTAATAACATAGGTGGGTCCTACATTGCCGTAAGTCTGATGTGACCCTGAATTTAATAAAGTTGCGCTGTACGTACACTATGGAGGGTAGAGATACCTCTTACACACTCCGTATATATATATATATATTGACCTACATATAAATAATAAGTATAATATTATATGTATAACAGATAAGTTTTTGTAACTCAAAATGTAACGTATATACAGACTAAAATAGACTAAATATCTTGCATAATATTTAAAGATTTTATTACTGAACAACATAAATACAAAAATTATAATAATGAAAAGTAAATTTTAATATGGACAGAGGAAAATCCAGGAAAAAATTTCTATTTAAGATCTGATTCATCAGAAGAAAAATTATAATTCTCGAATTGTTCGGAATCATTCGGTTCTTTTTCATTTTCCTCCATTTCAATAATGTCCTGGATTTTCAAAGGAATTTGATCTCCGATAAAACCTATTGGTTTTAAAAAACATCTAAATGCCAACCGTTGTTTGCAAGGTCTCACTTCGCACATATAGAATCAGTTGCATTGAGCCACATAGAATTTTCATATATTATTCTTGAAATTTTTTGTAGTCGAGAAGTCCAACACGGCGGTATTAAGTTGGAGTCAAAACTTTTAATCTTGTTTAAAAATTGTTCGCTATCTTCTTTTGCGCCGTAATTATTCATAAAAATACGAATTCTCGCATCATTAACTGACTGACAGTGCTTCACGCCATACATTCATCGATGAAAATATCAGCTGGATCAATTAATGGCGCAAAAATTGATTGATACCTTTAATTTTTAGAAAATATTTTAAATGGTCTAACCTTTCCTTTATTATAGAATGCCGCGCACGCTCACTTTCTTATATTCAGGGTCCCATCAGACGTACGGCAATGTTGGGTCCTTTATTATTACATAATATACTCAAAACTCAAAAGCTTTTAGTAATGTCTACCAATTTACTATAGCACGTCTTCTTCTTGGCGCGATCCACTTATTTGACTTGGAAAAGAATTATTTACAAATTTTGGATCTAATATTTACAAGATTAAATCTATCTAAAATTGTCAATATGCAAATGCAAACAAATGCTTTCCTTCTCTCCTAATGGATCAAAGTTAAGCCGTCGGGTCTCTTACCAATCGTCGCGAAAAATACCACAGCACTCTAAAATTGATGGAAAATTGATGGAAACAAGAGCCCTACGGATGAGGTCGTTCAGGGAACCGTAGCGGGAAAAGCGGCTAGCACTTTTTTGACAAGAAAGCCCGTGGAGACCAAATTTCTCTACATTGACACCACAAGGGCATTGGTTGACAAATCGGTGCCCCCGACGGATTCCTACAGCAATGCGTAAGCTTTCATCGTCAATGTGTTTACAAATAATATCAATAATAAAGTTCGTAGAGTAGTCAAACACTGGCACATCATTTGCCAACTTTTTTTTTTTTGTTGACGTGGCCTACGGCGCATACCCGCCCTCGCGGGGGCAAGAGCGGGTTATGTCGGACGCGCACCGACTAAACCCCCACGATGTTACACCTAGGCGCATATCGGCAGGGTCACGGGAACGCTTTCGCACACTTCCGCGACCCTGGCAGCGCTGGCCGCCTTAGCAGCCCCCTCACGGGGAGCAACTCCCCTCTCCACCAGGTAAGGCGCGCCTTCCTACTCGACCCCATTTTCACAGCCAACGAACTCCCCCGAGTTCGCTGACCGGGGCCATGGGGCCCAGGAGAGCCAGTGCTAATAAGCAGCAAGCCTCCCAGTCCCCAGCGGCGGACCTGGTCTGTGGCTCCGCCGCTCACCACGTTTCGGCCGCGGAGGACAGGGAGAACGGCGACCGCAATACCGACACTCCTCTCCCCCCGCGGCCCCACCACCACTGCATCAGCGGTGCAGCCCCGCCGAGTCGCGGAGGATAGGGAGCACGGCCAACGCAATTCCTCCTCGGTAGCAGAAGACAGGGAGAGTGGCTCCACTTCTACCACCCTCGACCTGTCCCCTGCACCCTACAGCACTCATCCAGAGTGGGCTCAATGAGCCCACTCGGAGCGGCCCTCTCGGGCCGGCTTTACACCACAGGCCGGCCCAGTGTGGGTTCCTCTTAGCTTCGCCGTGGGTGAACAAGCCACGGCTACTAAGCCCCTCCGCCACGTCAAGGCGGGGGGGCAGATCGACGACCCTGGTGGGTGAATAAAATAATAAGCACCCATTTGAAAGTTCAGCTAAATACAAAAGAAGTGGAATAAACAATTAAATAAATTAGTTTGTATGAACTCTTTTGATTACAGCGAAAATCATAATTTACAAATAGAAATTTTAGGTCAACAAAATTTATTGCATAAAAAGCAATATGGGTTTATTAGTTGTCGCTCAACAACAGATGCGGGCATCCAGCTTGTTAAGAGTATTTTTGAAGCCTGGGAAAGGTCACAGGATATGTTAGGTACTTATATTCTGTTACTTAACTAAAACTTTTGATTTTGTACTAACTACGCAACTCCTATGGTATAAGAGATGCCGCACTCAATCTTCTGACATCGTACTTGAGCTGTCGTGTTCAGAAAGTTGACGTGAATAGCAGAGATCCCCGGGGCCCTGTTAAATATGGGGGTTCCTCAGGGATCTATTTTGGGGCCTTTTCTCTACCTCATCTACATAAATGACCTACCCCATCTTGTAAATATCATAGTTACTCATGATCATTAGATCATGAGATAGTATTGTGTGCTGATGATACATCTTTAACTTTTTAAGTAAAACGACATTCTTTAAATTATGACTATGTACACAATACTCTCTCCACGGTAGTGCATTGGTTTAGTGCTAACAACTTAATGTTGAATAGTAAAAGAAAACTAAATGTATTAAATTACAACTCCCAACGTTAAACGTGTAAAAACTGATGTACTTTTGTATAGGGAAGCGTTAGACCATATTGACTCAACTGTATACCTTGGCATAACTGTAGATGACAAGCTGCAGTGGGGCCCCCATATTAATAAACTGGCGAGTAGGGCCACGCAACAGTATTCGCTGTTGCACGAGTGGGCAGGTTCGTCCGATTTAGTACCACGACCTCAGACACAACTGGCGTGCAGTAAAAGTGTTTTACACTTTTGCGTTTCGTCTGTTGATTGAGGTAGCTACACCACTCGGTAGCCCACTTTATTAAAAGGTGGTAATGCATCTGCAACCCTACGGGTGTTGCAAATGTTCATGGTTGGCGGTTATCACTTAACATCAGGTGGACGGCCAGCTAGCCGGTACGTTTGTCACTATTTTAACATAAAATATGAGTAGACTTAGCTCAGCTGCCTTTGCGGTGGAAAAAATTAGATAGTTGACTGATGATACGGTTCGTTTGGTATATTTTAGTTATTTCCACAGTATAATGGCTTAAGGCATTCTACTTTGGCCAAACGTGATTGGCATAAATATCATCTTCATATATAAAAAAGAGCTATTCGAGCAGTTTATAACTTGGGCCCCAAAGGATCACGAAGGAATTTATTTAAAGAAATGAAGTTATTGACTGTAGCTTCTCAGTACATACTTGCAAATGTTCATAAAAATAATCATTCAATTTCATCCAGATTGCGTAGAATAAGTAAATCTTCAGAAATCGTTCAAAATGAATCAGATGCTAAATTCAAAAAACTTGTAAAGGAATGTTTTTGTGTTAAGGGCTGTTATAGTATTAGTGATTACTTTAATGATAACACACTCTGGAAATTAATTTATGAATGATTGCTCTTTCAAGTATAATTTTAAGTATTTTTATGTTAAAAAAATGTCTCACTGAGTTTATTTCGCCGGTTTTTCCTAGGTCGGTGGTGGCTTTAAAATATACATTTCACCAGCCCCAGTATGAATCGTAAACGTAAACATAACTGCTTTCTTCTTAAATAATTTAGCGGTATTATGACCTTGCTCCACTTAACGTAAACAGTTGATCCGAAAAGTTGTCCGATGACCGCGACCGGAAATGTAATATCACGCGGCGCGCCTCGAGCAACCTCAAACAAGTATAAAAACTGAGGAACACGAAAGGACTATTATCATTGGCACTTTTGACTTTGATTGTTACATACCTAACAATGGCTTTCAGAGTAAGTGTATTGATAAAAGCTTGAATCAAGCCATTTGATTATAATATCATAGTTATAGTTTTATTACAATGTTTTTTTTTTTGCTTATTTTTTTGTCACTTTACAGCTTGTCTTTCTCACATGCCTGTTGGCGGCCGCCAGTGCCGGTTTAATCCCGGCATCTCCTCTCACCTACGCCGCACCCACCTACCACGGCTACCAAGCCGCCCCCGTGGCCTATGCCGCTGCCCCTGTGGCCAAGCTCGCATACGCCGCCCCCGTCGCCAAGCTCGCGTACTCCGCTCCAGTTGCCAAGGTCGCCGTTGAGGAATACGACGCCCATCCTCAGTATAGCTTCGCATACGACGTGCAGGACGGTCTCACCGGAGACTCCAAGTCGCAGCACGAGAGCCGCGACGGTGACGTTGTCCAGGGCTCTTACTCGGTCGTCGACCCCGACGGCACCAAGCGCACCGTCGACTACACCGCTGACCCGCACAACGGCTTCAATGCTGTGGTTCGCAAGGAGCCTCTCGCCGTGAAGGTCGCAGCTGTGGCCAAGGTCGCCGCCCCCGTTGCATACCACGCCGCTCCAGTCATCCACGCCGCCCCCTTAGCCTACTCTGCACCAATCTATCACCACTGAACTAATGTATACATACAGCAAAATCGATTGTAAATAGACCATATAACTTATTGATGACTTATTAAATTCCTTTAAGGTAATTAACTAAATATGTATTTTCCATTCACATTTAAGTAAAAATTGAAAAACTAAATGTTGAAGAAAATGGGTTCGAAGTTTACCTAAAACACCCAACTTCTAGTAACTCCAACTTATAGTATGGATTTACTACACAATCTGTAGCTGTATTCAAAATCACATTACGATACGGTCTTACTCTTAGTGTTGCCAAAGGCCGGCAACGAATTTGGAAGTCCTGTTGTTTTCCAAAATCCATGATAGGCAGTGAACAATTACCATCAGCGCACTAGCTTGCCCGTGTGCGTCATTTTCCATTATTGCAAAAAAAACGAACCAAACAAAAAGCATAGAGATCGGCACTCATGAGCCTTTTTTTAAACAAAACAACATTGCCCTTACTTTAGGATAACATTATCCCGTGTTGTAACGACGTTTTTACAAACATAAATTTCACGTGGACAAACACCCAGATGCGAAACAACTGTCTGTGGGTCACACAAATTGTTGTCGCGTATGGGAATCGAACCCACGACGCCCGACGGCAACTACGCCACGGAGTCATCAAACATCCTTTCAACTGACTGATTAATATAATAAACCCTTAATGGGTTTGGAGTTTTAAAGTACCTTAAATTTATTGAGTTATTTCATTTGAATAAATTTAATAAAGACAAACTGTGGGACTGCGTCCAAAGTATCACAAATGAAATCCGACCTCAAAACATTTAAGATCTTCATTAAAAGGACCCTTGGCCTTAAGAATTGCGAGCAACGTGTTTAAATGCAACGCAATGCGTGTGCGAGAACACAACTACGTACGTAATCCAACTTGCCATGACATTTCACGTAACAATATTTTTAATTACGATAAATTCAATGATTATTCGTATTATATCTGCATTATTATGTACCTATACGTGCATATAGGTATTATTACTTTTGCTGATAGCGAATTAGAATTGAAATTCAGCTCCCGTTTTATTGCAAATATAATTATGTATCTCTGGCAAAACCATCATTGCAAGATAAAGTACTTTTTTAGCGCCAACGTGTATTCTATGTAATTAGGTAAGATTGAACATCCTTCGACATGACAATTCAGCGGTGCCTGTCATTACTTTTTTATTTATGTTATTGACTAACGAAAAATCACTCAAGGTTTTGTAAAAACTACGTCTGATCATTCCGAATTTGTTATTGTGTTCAATTGTATTGTATCTCAATTTATTCAATCATAAAAAGCGGTTTATATTTTATGTGTGTAGATAGCAAACGAACTCACCGGTTCTCCTGATGTATATAGTGATAACCGCCGCCCATAGACATTAGCAACAGACGCAGAGTTGCAGATGCGTTGCCACCTTTTAATAAAGGTGGCTCCGGTTACATCACTTATCAGACGAAACGCAGAGGTATAACATTTTCACGTCACACCGGTCTTCTGTGTGATCGTGGTGTTTCCCCGGAAGCAGGCAGGTAGCCCATTCAAGCAACAGCGAAACCTGATGCGTGGCCTTACCATAGTTTATCACCTTTTGATAGACAACAAAGTCGTCGAAGGAAAAATATATGAGTAGAAAAATATGAGGATATGGTGACTTGATATGACAACAAAATAATAGCTCGCGTCATTGTCATGATTTATGGCGACTTTTCAGTATGGAATATGATATATATAATTCCAAGATCTAAATTGACAGTGTTTGTTGTTAAGATTAACACCATGGTTGTTATTCACACATAAAAATAAACATTATTTGTTTCTAATGTTAGAGATCAGTTAGATAAAGGGCATGTAATGAAAGGGGTTGAGGGCACGTAAAGTACTATAAATTTGATAATATCACTTATATCAGTATTTAAATTGCAAATGACAGTTACACAAACCACCTTATTCGTTAGAGGAACTGGCAGGAAAATAAGCTTAGCTTTTAACACCCTTTTTTCTTTTTGGTCTCCAGTGATGTTTCCAACATTTTCCAAACATAATGAAGTTACGTTCCCTTACACACCCTTATTAATCATATCAATAAGTATTCCATAATTTGAGTCCTTAAAATACTAAATTAAAAAACTATGAAGTCAACATTCAATGACTTTCATCGAAGTCGGTGTAATAAAATAATTCACGGTTTCATTACAGTTTTGATTACAATTTTAACTCTTCGTTAAAGGATGGGACATATTTGTTAAGTTAAAATTTAAAGCTATCAGAGGTCCACACGTCCGTACTACAGAGGGTCCGAGGCAAAAGTGAACCTTGCACGTCCATATGGTACGTGTCTCGTCTGCGTGATACAGTAGCGGCGGGCCGTCCTACACACACGCCAATCTGTTATAATTTCATAACAGTTGGCCTAAAGTCAAGAACGCGTTCGAATTTTCCGCCATTGACAAATTACAGCTCATTTCCAATTGCGTGCACATCCATCGTAATGCACCTGAATAATACTAAGCGCGAACTTGGTACGGTGTCACAACAAACATCCAGTATATATACCCTGATGCTCTCAAGAGGAGCATAGTCACATTCGGCTCCTTCATACAACCCATCTTTACAACAATGGCCTTTAAGGTAAAGAAAAACATCTAAAAATATTTCTTTTACTTTGACATCTTCCCTGATTTCATTTTAAAACTTTGCAATTCTATTTCAATTTAATAAATGTTGTGATGATGAGTAAGTGTTCCTTATAAAATCTTAACATTTATACTTTCAATCTTTTTAACTTATCCTGAGAAAACTAATTGATTACCAATATCCTCTCAGCGGATTAATGTAATATTCTTATTCCAAAATATTAGAGTATTTTCAATCCGACAATTTTTCCGAAAATTTTTTTGTATTCTCTTTTAGAAGTAGTACATAAATATATTTACAGTATTTAACTATTTTAAAAATAATAAAAAATAGAATTCCAAAAAATGTTATAACAAATATATAATATTAAATAGATCCTAAATAGCGCCTATTGCAAAAAAATTAAAGATAAATAAGAATAGTCGAAAAATTTATATACAGTCATATGCATGTCCAAGTAAGAGTGATCACGACTATCATTGTAACAATGCAATGTCACGCGAACGATAACGTGCCACTGCCAGCGCCTAAGCTCATTTGGATTCAGGGGACATCACTAGCGCGTCCTTGACAAGCTCGGTCCACGGCTTGTTTGTAATTTCTCCGCGCACGCGTTTCGTAACCGCACTAGTCTTGCCCTCTCGAACCGTGTTACTGTTTCAAGTACAAGTGCCGTTATTATTCGCGTTCGTTACGTTGCTGCAGTATTCGCGTTGCGCTTAAAATGTCACTCAAGTCGATCTACTTTTCTTATACAATATCTGTCACGAATATTCGCAGCAATGGTTAATTGATAATTCGTTACAGATCGTTATCTTCTCCTGCTTCGTGGCTCTGACCCGAGCTAGCCCGTCGGCGGTGGCCGCTCCTCTAGTTGCCGCGGCGCCGGTGGTCGCCGGGCCAGCGTTGGCGAAGCTCGAGGAATTCGACCCGGCACCCCAGTACCGATTCGGGTACGACGTGGCGGACGCCCTCACCGGCGACTACAAGAGCCAGACGGAGCAGCGCGACGGTGACTTGGTCCGCGGTTCCTACTCGCTCGTCGATCCCGATGGCACCCGCCGCACCGTCGACTACTCCGCCGACTCCGTGAACGGGTTCAACGCGGTTGTTCGCAAGGAGCCTCTAGTCGCCGCGGCGCCCGCCGTTGTGGCCGAGCCCGCTGTCGTGCCGGCCAGGATTGCTGCAGCCCCCGTAGCGGCCGCGCCTGTGGTGGCTGCCAAATACGCCGCCGCCCCAGTGGCGCCTGTGGCCGCACCCCTCACCTACGCAGCGTACACCGCTCCAGCCGCCAGACTGGCTGCGTACACCTCTGCGGTGCCTTTTGCCTACCCAGCCCCAGTGGCTCGCGTAGCCGCTCCGCTTTACTCGCCTGTAGCCCGTCTGACAGCACCCTATGCCGCCGCCTCCCTTGTTGCTGTTTAGATCTCAACCAACGATGAACTGATTCTTGATTAAATGAACAATAAACTTTTTTATTCTTGAATAATGTTTTTAATCCGTCGACCTTTTCATTATTTATACAAAAACAGAGTAAAAACTTTGAGTTTATGTATTTAGTATAGAGATTATATAATTAGAAATTTCAGATTCACTAATTTACTTTGCCTTATTGTATATCAATGCTTTATTTTTGTTTATTCTTTGTTTTTAATAATTATATAACTAGCAATAGTAGTCCCTCATGTATGACATTTTAAAAATACAAAGTGTACTATAACGTAAAAAATGGCATTTGGATATCAGTTAACCTTCTTTTTAAATTCTATATTAATATGTCACCTGACACTAGATCAAGATTTTATGTTTCAAAACGAAATAATTAATTGTCATTAAAATACGACTGCTATTGCAAAATCGTATATTTGTACCGGTTTAAACTTCATTAACAGAATTTACCATGGAAGAAAAGCAGTTGTACGGCGCTTTAACTGTTTACCGTGAGAGAGGAGCCTATTTACGCCGGCTGGAACAATTTGAAAAGGCAAAGGCATCTTACGATGAGGCGTTCAGAAACGCTCCTGAAGATGTCGCAACGCTCACGGGACGTAGCCAGGTATGCTCTGACGCCGTACAGCCGGTCCAGGCTTACTCAGACGCCGAAATAGCGCTACAGCTGGAGCCTGCTAATATGATTGCACGTAATATGCAAGCTCGTGCCATGTACACCATGTCCGATTTTGAGAGGTCGGTCGTTATGAACTATCGGGGAGCGCGAGTCCGTCGCCAACCGCCCTATTTCACGGAAGGCATCAATCAGGGCGTTGAAACTATCCAAGACTGCATCGGTATCAACGCCGGAAATGTCATGCTTGACTTCTTGCCTTTAATAAGAAAATCAGAAGTTGGTGTCGTTGACGAGCACGAGCCCCAGAAACAGTTGCACGTGTCGCGTATTCCACGCCAAGAAAAAAAACGCAAGTTGACCCAAATGGAGGCTCGAAAGCATTTTACCTTAGCACGTGTCCTTGCTATGAAATATCTAGGCCCTATGGCATATGACAAGTTCTTTCTCCAAGAGCTCACCGAGGACCTAAGATTACAATCGGCTAACTCAAAAGGTAGTACTGAGCTAAAAAACATTGTAAAAGAAGCACTACGTTCATTGACCGAGCGACAGGATATGTTACGAGCACAAAGACCGTATTATACTATTAAACTGGCTGAAAAAGCTGAATCTAAGCATCAGAATAAGTACAAGGAAGCAATGCTTGTAACTGAGCGCGAAATAGGCGCACGCAGTGCTGAGCACTTACTGAAACAAATCGAGAAGAATTTGCGAGAAAAACGCGTTATGAATGTCATGTCATACGCAGAACGCCTCCAGACCTTCCTTGATGCGAAAACTCCGCGGACCTTGCCAGATAAAGAGATTTATATCGATCGATTATATAGGGCAGTAGGTGAAGCATACTTATGCCAGCATCGTTTATCGTATAGATTAAGTGAACGGGGTAACAGACGCCGAATCGCGTTCTTAATGGGCCTTCCCGTCGGTCGACCTACTTCCTTCGACTCTGTGCTTGGAAATTATCCGTATAAATTTATTGACGTCAAACAAGCCACGAGCAAGGTGGCCGCCTCTTTGGAAATGTGCGAGAATTCAACAATGAGATGTTGGCTAATGTACGAGATGGCCAGATTGCTGTCGACACAAAAGAACTACGCTCTCGCCAAGTTTTACGCTAAACGGTGTCAGCGCGAGGCGCAGGAGATTTCCAACGTGACGTGGTGGCTGAACGGATTATTTGTTTTAATGAGCGGTGACATGCAACAGGGCAACACAAATGAAGTGAGAATCCAGGTGGAGGAAGCTTACGAGTACTCCAAGAAGCTACAAGATCCCGAACAGGTGCAGGCCTTCCTTAGCAAATGTGCTGAGATGATGGCCGACGCAGTCACAGCCGATGAGCGGAAAGCGATAGAGCAACGCGAGAGGCAAATTTTGGGCGTGATGGATGATGTTCAGCGCGTGGAGACTCGGGTGCTGTTTAAGCGAATGTCCATAGTGCCTACAGGACGCAGATTTTCTGTATTACCACAGAAACAAGAGGGAGGAGTGCAACAATCGGAGCGTCGTAAACTACGCCAGAGAGGTCTCTCTGTCATACCAGGTGAAGAGAAAGGATTAGTGCCTCCCCCAAAGTCGGACACCCCTGGTCGGCAGATTTTTGATATTTAATGTTAATGCTAATGATTACAAAAGCTTTGATAATTAGAGTCATACGCTTTTGAGACAATACACTACAAGAAAAACACCTTAAATATTACTTCGGTATGATCTTCCAAAGCAGCCATTATTCTAATATACTAGGATTTAGGTATTCTGAACTACCTTTTAGCTATTTATATACATAATTTTCTCCATTCATAAAATAGAAAGTGCGCCTATATACTCGATCAGTCAGATCTCTTTTTATTATTTTTAGATGATTTAAAATTTATATTAAAATAAAATTAACTTAGTAGTATGTATTTTTTCTAATGACAAAAGTCGTTTATATAAACTGCATATTGGTAATAAATATATCTTTATTTACACTATGGCAATCAAGTTATTTCTAAATTAGTGGTGGTAGACTGGAGAAGCATAGGCTACGGGGGCAGCATGGTAGGCCACGGGTGCTGCGTGGACGACTGGAGCGGCGTGGTATGCAACGGGGGCGGCGACCTTGGCCACAGCTGCGACCTTCACGGCGAGGGGCTCTTTGTGAACGACGGCATTGAAGCCGTTGTGCGGGTCAGCGGTGTAGTCCACGGTGCGCCTGGTGCCGTCGGGGTCCACGACCGAGTAGGAGCCCTGGACGACGTCACCGTCGCGGCTCTCGTGCTGCGACTTGGAGTCTCCGGTGAGACCGTCCTGCACGTCGTATGCGAAGCTGTACTGAGGATGGGCGTCGTATTCCTCAACGGCGACCTTGGCAACGGGGGCGGAGTACGCGAGCTTGGCGACGGGGGCGGCGTATGCGAGCTTGGCCACAGGGGCAGCGGCATAGGCCACGGGGGCGGCTTGGTAGCCGTGGTAGGTGGGTGCGGCGTAGGTGAGAGGAGATGCCGGGATTAAGCCGGCGCTGGCTGCCGCAACCAAACAGCTGAAGGCGATGAACTAAAACAGAAATAAAATGACATTAAAAAGTTGATCAGTAAAACAAGTCTTGGACTCATAAGAAATCCCTAATTGCTGAAGAGAAAATAAATATCACGGACGAAACCGAACGGAAACGAATTCATGTTATTTTTTTTATGGAAAAAGGGCAAACAGGCAGGAGGCTCACCTAATCATAATGGAAATTGATAGTATTAGATTAGTTAGAACAAAAATACAACATCTCAATACATAAAGTTGAATGAAGAGAAATTTATGTACTAATATACACAGCCCTATGCACATTTGATGCAAATTCAAGGGAGCAATTCCCAAATGGTGATTATGATGTTATGAAACTTAAAAACCGAAAAACGGGTAGCAATCTCACGCCACTATTATATTTTTAGTGTCTCCACCGCCACCACCACGTGCTTTCGCCTTTGACTTTTGCATGTAATGTGCCTTTTTTTAAAAAACATATCGTAAGTATTAAAAACAGAGCTAACTACCTTGAATGCCATTGCGATTGTGGTTATGTTCAGAGTTGAAAATGAACTGTAGAACTGTGGGAGCGCTCTCGTTTTATATTAGTCCTACTCCTCGATTGTCCAGTCGTGACATTAGGCCCGTAGTGACGTCACAACATTTGTATGGCCTCTTCGTACCGAGGAGCTTTTTGAACTTTCGCTTTTAATTGAAACGGCTTAAGTCAAGGTTGCGTTCTCGAAAGAAATGTGGCCACCGATAGCAACGGTATATGATTATAGCTGAAACCTTCTTACTAATGTCTAATGAGATTATTGTAAGTGTAATAATGTGTCACACGCCTATATTGATTCATGTTTTTACGAGAATATTATACATGGTCTAATGAAACTACTTTACGAATTTTATCGCGTTTTAAACAGAAAGTTTGTCCCGAGACCATGAACACTACAAAGAGTTGGGAGCGACAGGAATTTAAAAATCAAATTAAAACACGATAAAATCCGTTAAGTAGATTCATTAAAACAATAACACTGTTATCTTATTTTAGGAATATTTTCCATCTTAAATTTCTTAAGAATCTCTCGAACTCACTGATTAATTTTTCCATGTTTTTTTTGTTAGTGCGACAGACAACGTTAAAGAAATGTAAAAGGAACATAAATCTCTTCATTACCATAATATATGCCAATTGAAACTAAACTGATCAAGTATCAATTCCATCAGATATAAATATTTCAACCCTGTTATCCCCACTGAATCATAATTGTTCGTTCTTTTTAGAATTATAGCTATTTATTTATTTATTTTATACATCAACTTACAACTATCATTACAGGCTGTACCTAATGCGATTAGTGAAGTTCGAATACAATTTAAGATAACATATAACTATACGTATAACTAAAACTAAAACTAAACACTCAGAACATGGAACATAGCCAATGTGAACTCGTTCAATGAGCAATGGAATAAATTTAATTCATTAGCTACTGTAATTAAAGTACAATACGCCCGAGTCAGTGGTGAAAAACGTAATGAATTAGTCCGTGGCCTAGGTACAGATAATAGTATCGGCCGCCGCCTCCTCCTCAAATATCCTTCTGGTACGCATAGCCTCATCTGCTGCAATAGAATCGGATTATTTATTTTGCCACGCAATACCTTAAAAAGGTACGTGACTATAAAAACTTCCCTCCTCACTTCAAGTGCATTATATCCTACCATACCCAGAACAAATAAAGTAGGATATAGTACAAGATAACTCGGATACACTCCATATAATTTACAATACAAAAATCGAGCAAATTTGTTATAAATACGTTCGAGCATATACTTATATTTATTTTCATGTGGAGTCCATATCACAGCATTGTGCTCCAAATGACTCTTTACCAAGGCTTCATATTAGTTATGATATAAGAGAAGAGCGTCCTAACTTCAAATCGTCAAACGCTAATTTCTTCAGAACCACCGCTAATGCGATTGTCGAGTACACGATATTACACAGTCGTTAAAGGTAGAAACATTTTCAAAGCTTAAGAACTTTGAAAATGTTTCTACCTTTCACTTTCAAAATACAATTAGTAACAAATTAAACTGTAAAAGAAAAAGTAACTCCCTGAGTATTCTACCAAGTTCTAGCATCGATCATTTCCAACAGTGTCCTAACAAAAAAAAAAATTTCGACTATAAACAAATTGCACATCAATTTTATTGGTAATAGTAAAATAACAAAACCTTTTAAGGACGCGTTTACGAATTCACGCGCTTCAATTTTAGGTACAGAGGCGTACTACTACACGTGCACGGCTCACGCACACAGCGACAAGCGCGAAGCAGCGAAACTTTATGTAACTGACGCAACTTGATACTTTTATTTAATTTGAAGTCATTTATTTTTTAAGCTTACGTTAAATTTGTTTTCAACAAGTTTTTAAACTGAATATTTTTTTATATATTTAGGTACAATTTATTAAATTTCATTTAAAAGCTCGTAGCTGTTGATAATTTGCGTTTTAATTAATTATGTATATAATTTAATTTTAGTTTTAATTAATTTTTATGAAGTAAACGAAGCTTGTTTTATACATGTTTGATTATGCGTGCGGTAGGTAGATAGCTTGATAGGTAGGTAATGGTAGGGTACGTAGGAAGGTAGTTATGTAGGCAGATAATTAGGTAAAACCCGCTAACGAATTGAGTAAAATACTTTGTATGGTATTCTGAATGCATTTTGCTGATTCAATAATATTCATGCTAAATGTTAAAAAAATAATTTTCTGTAAATGTTTTTTGAAAATTTAATATATCCTATGTCATCCGGGGATAATGTAGCTTCGAGACAGTGAAAGAAATTTTCAAATCTGTTCAGTGGTTTAGGAGCCTATTCAATGCATAAAAACAATCAAATCTTTCCTCTTGCGTGGTAGGCGGAGTGGGTGGTGTTAGGTTTTATTTTCGTTACGGAATTTATTGATTCGTTCGCCGCGCTCAAAGCCCGCGATAAAAGCTGTGCAATAGCTTAAAAAAATATTGTTTCATTTTTAATTTGACTCTTCCATGCTCTTCGCAGAACTGTCGCTATGTCGATCCTGGGTGGAGCAAGCCCGTGAGGCCAATTTATACCTCCGACACGAGGTTCTGGCTCCGCCTTTTGATGTTCACTCTAGGGATAGGGAAGACCACACGCAGTCGGGGTGCTCTGTGTCGGATCTTTGTGATTTTTCTTTATAGTTCTCTATGATTTAATTATTTTTGTTATCTATATCGAAGTAGTAGCCTGCTAAAATTTTATCGTTTTAGGCTTTGGCATCTGAAACAACAATTGAGTTATAAGAGGTATAAATGTTGTATGTGATAACTGTGCCATAAAAATAAGTCTTTGATAATTTGAGACCCACTACATTTTTACATAACTATTTTTTTTCGTGTTTTGCCTATTTTAAAGACGTTCTTACTTATTTTAAATTAAGTATTATTTTAGGCAGAATCCATGATCATAAAAGTTGATCAGTGCGAAACACGACAAAACAATAAACGATAAATGGGGTCATAAACGTGAAACAAAAAGTTTGCCACATAGCTGTCGTTCGAAACTTTTGAAGTACTTGTTTATTACACCTATTCATTGAAACATACAAAAAAATGACCTTTTACATGCCTAATCTTACAATTTGCAAGTGTGCAAATTTGTTTTGTATTACTTGTATTTTTAATTATCCATACAACTTTTCTACATGTGGTGTACTTTTGGCCAACATTTGGCTGCATGGAAATAAGAATTTATAATAAAATACCAGATAGGTTCATAGGCCTCCCGGAGTATTTAAATTTAAACGAAAATTCTAAAATCTGTACACTGTCAAATTAAACATTTAAAATATTTAATCATGTCTAAGTAATGTAGAATGTTTATATTAAAAATTCATTACTTTGACTTGTGATTTACTTTGACTTTTATTTATACTCTATTAACTCATAATTAAAATCTAAATTTAATTTTTTTTTTATATTAACATGTTTCACAAATATTTATACACAGAATTGATGTAGAATACGTAGTTCCATATTTTAAATAACTTTTTTACTGTATTCTTACACCTATGCCAATACATCAATTTCAAAGGTAAGGTCTCAAAAAAACTCACAAAACAAGCCCAAACTCGACACACATAGCTCATCTCGTCTGTTAGTTCCAGTAGCAGTTCTCAAAGTACACCTTCAGGTCACTCCATCTAGTCAGAAGGCAAGGTCTCACCATACCTAACAAAACAAGCCCAAACTCGACACATATAGCTAATCTCGTCTGTTAGTTCCAGTAGCAGTTTTCGAAGTACACCTTCAGGTCACTCCATCTAGTCAGAAGGCAAGGTCTCACCATACCTAATAAAACAAGCCCAAATTCGACACACATAGCTCATCTCGTCTGTTAGTTCCAGTAGCAGTTCTCAAAGTACACCTTCAGGTCACTCCATCTAGTCAGAAGGCAAGGTCTCACCATACCTAACAAAACAAGCCCAAACTCGACACACATAGCTCATCTCGTCTGTTAGTTCCAGTAGCAGTTCTCGAAGTACACCTTCAGGTCACTCCATCAAGTCAGAAGGCAAGGTCTCACCATACCTAACAAAACAAGCCCAAACTCGACACACATAGCTCATCTCGTCTGTTAGTTCCAGTAGCAGTTCTCAAAGTACACCTTCAGGTCACTCCATCTAGTCAGAAGGCAAGGTCTCACCATACCTAACAAAACAAGCCCAAACTCGACACACATAGCTCATCTCGTCTGTTAGTTCCAGTAGCAGTTCTCAAAGTACACCTTCAGGTCACTCCATCTAGTCAGAAGGCAAGGTCTCACCATACCTAAACAAAACAAGCCCAAACTCGACACACATAGCTCATCTCGTCTGTTAGTTCCAGTAGCAGTTCTCAAAGTACACCTTCAGGTCACTCCATCAAGTCAGAAGGCAAGGTCTCACCGTACCTAACAAAACAAGCCCAAACTCGACACACATAGCTCATCTCGTCTGTTAGTTCCAGTAGCAGTTCTCAAAGTACACCTTCAGGTCACTCCATCTAGTCAGAAGGCAAGGTCTCACCATACCTAACAAAACAAGCCCAAACTCGACACACATAGCTCATCTCGTCTGTTAGTTCCAGTAGCAGTTCTCAAAGTACACCTTCAGGTCACTCCAACAAATCAGAAGGCAAACTCTCACCATACCTAACAAAAAAAGCCCAAACTCGACACACATAGCTCATCCCGTCTGTTAGTTCCAGTAGCAGTTCTCGAAGTACACCTTCAGGTCACTCCATCAAGTCCGTAACGAAATATGAATTTTTAACCCCTACTAATTTCTAGTAAAAATATGACAAAGTGTGAATTATAGTTTACTTTTGTCGTTCGTAATCCGAAGTCCGAACATGATGTGTAAAGTATCAACTTTGTTACGACAAATATTTTGTATTTGTACATCGATCTTTTTCCTCACGAGCTGCTGTTTATAAGCAACATAGTGACCACTTATGACGGCAGCCGAGCGCCGACTAATATTTCTTTAAATATTTTTGTGGAATAAATCAAAAAAGTGACCAGTAAAATAACCTTTATGTCAATCACTTAAGATTCACGCGTAAGATATAAATGTGAAAGAAATAGATTTTAATCTTTATTTTTTTCTGAAACTAATTTCAACAATTTTGATACGTAATGTAGCTACCTTTTTGAGTTGAACATGTGTGCTTACATAAAATATTTTTAAATAAAAAAAATATGTTATTAAATAAGAGAAAAATGTTCCTAAACCCAACAGGATATCGTCCATTTTGAGTGAAGTGGTCACGAAAATTCTCATTTACAATATTATAAACCAAAATTTTCGATTAAAAACTATCTACCATTTGAAGATGAAGGAGGGATCTATATGTGATAATTATTACTTACATTATATTCGTTTCGTTTTGCCGCAAAATGTACCTGAAAACCCACTATTTTTGCAGATTCCGCGAGATTTCGCAAACACGCCCTTTGGGAAAATTTTGGAAAAAATTGGGATCTTCACCCTAACCTCATTATATGAACGTCAACAAAACTACTTAGTTATGGTTTTTCATCGTGTGATAAAAAAAATCAGCCATGGTTCTTCCATGTGGTGGTTGATCGTGGAACTTCTGCGACTCTTCGAACTAGATTCCACCCGAATGGCGCGCAATTGAGATGTATGAGAGATATTGCTGCTGCCTATCTCGCCTGAGCCTAAGTGCCGATGATGGGGCGGAGGGATCGACGGTCAGTATATAATGGTCAATAAATAACAATATTTACTGGGATAAATTTAATTATTGTCGATGGCGAACGCAAGTATCAAAAGCTCGATTAACTTTTTTTATAATATAGAACGACGTTTTAGTTTAATTTTATCGCCATACTATCTCAGCCAAAGTGCGGCATTTCCCGGTACGCCTCTCGACTCAATTCACGCGTCACGGGGTTCGATTCCCCCATTCCCGGGTCTGTCCGATTTCTAGGGCAGTGTAGAAGACCACGTGTTGTTGTTAACTCTATCGTTTCTCTTAACATTTTCATGATAGTCCGTCCCTTTAGGCTTATTTGTTTGTGCACTCAGCGGGGTTATCAATAAAATAAAGTTTCAATTCAAATTCATTTTATAACATAAATAACATTGATATAAAAAGCCTAACGATATGGATTGCAACATAACAACAACATTGTAATAATTCATCTAGTAGTAGTAGGGGTAGGGTAATCTCGGGGCAAGGAGGGGTGCGGGGGCGGGGGCGTAGAGGGGAGCGCGTGCAACCACTGGGGCGGGCGCAACAACGGGGGCTGGCGCAACTACGGGGGCGGGGGCGACAACCCTAGCGGGGCCTGCGACCACGAGCGGTTCCCGGCGGACGACCGCGTTGAAGCCGTTCAGAGGGTCAGCGGAGTAGTCGACTATCCTCCTGGTGCCGTCCGGGTCGACGACCGAGTAGGAGCCGGTGACAAGGTCGCCGTTGCGGTTCTCCTGGTGCCCCTTGTAGTCGCCGGTGAGCGAGTCCTGCACGTCGTAGCCGTAGGAGTACTGGGGCAGCGCGTCGACGCGGGCTGCGACCACGGGCGCCGGGGCTAAAACGCTCGCGCAAGCCACGCCGAGCGTGCAGATGAATACTACAATCTGAAAATTATAGGAGATTTAAGTAAACTAGTGGTCGATCAATATTCGCTATTTCACAGTAACTTTAAATTTAATGATTTAATATTTCTCTCAGACTCTTTCAATCAATGTTTCATCTGTTTAAAAGACAATTTTTAATCTGTTTAAAAGAGTGACAACAGATTATTAAATGTTTTATATTAACGATATGAAAGTAAACAATTAATGTTTTATTAAATTTTATGTATTTGTAACACGCATTGTAATTTTTAAATCTCTGATGTTCTTGTGCATGTTAAATTTAAATACGCCAAATCTCACTTAACGCCTTAAATTTTAAGGACCGAAAAGGACGGATGATGGGCCGTTTCCAAATCACTCATCCACCACTTCTTACCGTTGCAAGTAGATTAAAATTAGAAATATTGTGCATGCCTGCATTCTAATCTAGCAAAGAGTAAGTTAGATTAAACTCTTGCACCTGCACTGCTCTCGGATGAACATTTTTCATATGAATGGGACTATAATGCTATTAATTAAAACAATCTGATTGCAAAGTTTGCGTAATCTTGGCGATGCAATGACCAGAAGCCGAAATTTGGCCGTTCGGACTTCCTCGTAAACACAAGATGGCGTCGCATTGCATAAGATCAATTGACGAAGCGCATGCCGAATTGATATGCGCGCCCGATCGGCGGGCCGAATACGTCCGACTTGCGTCACGGTGTCGCGCGAAAAGAAAGGGTCGCATATCGCAACTGCCCGCAGATGGAATATTAAATTGATAATAGACGAAAGAAAGTAGCGACGTTCCTATTTGCTCTTACGCAGTGGATATCATTTGATATAGCGCATTTACTATTTAATTTGCGCCTTCTAAACCTTCTTGGATACACGAATATTGCCAATGCCAATTAAAGCCTGACAGATGTAAACTGTATACGTTTAGCTTTATAGGATAGCTGTATAGGATTAGCTCATTTGTAATTTGACTATTTTGACTACGAAGGACTGCGGTAATAGAAACGGGGCAAAGCCTACTGCTACTATTAAAAAAAAGGTGTTACTGCTTCAAAAACAACTCATAACTGAAAGGTCTGAATAATATCACATAGAAGGATAAAGAAAACATTTTTATGAAAGAAGAGCCTTTATAAATAACGGGCAGCAATATACCCAAACATATCAACTTTTATTTTGATGCTAATGAGGTTATTGATTTTTCCACACAAAGGAGACTAATTACAGTCATAATATTACTCTATTGCTTCTGTACCTCCGTCTGCTTTTGTTACTGTCTGCTTTTGTACCTCCAAAAACTAAGTATACTCCAAATGTTATGATCCTGAGTCGGTTCAAAGCGAAAGCGTTGGTAACACTATGTCGCAAAGCATCCCTATATGGGGCGTTAGTTAATCTAAAGTCACGCGCATGGCGACTCGATGCTATCGCGTATACGACAAACTTGTACTGAGCTGTTATTGCGCGATATTATCTCAATCTGCAACAGACCTTAAGAACTTGATAAACTTTTTTCGACCGTTACATACATTGTTAAATTGTCTTAGTATAGGAAACTTCAAATTAAAACGGAACTTGAGAATAATATCATTGTTTCATAGAGTATTTCAGAGAAAACTGGACCGAAAACTACGCACACATTAAATTAAAATAAGGCAGATAACCAATATTAAAACTACTGTATTGTCACTAGTGATAAAAGATGTTACGTATAAAATCTGTTATAATATCGATTTGTATCTTCATAATATTGAATCACTTGGAGAGATTTATAATTATTGTACCGGATGTATTTGTATATTAATTGAAGTAATTTAATAAGAATTTAATATTTTCAAATTAAAAAGTATTAAAGCAGGAAATAGAGAAGTCACTGTTGTACGTACCTTGGAGTTCATGTTTGTTTGCTTGGGGTTGTTTGAGCAGCGCAGAAGTGAACTGTGAATGGCCCGGGTGGCGGACGCGTTATATATCGTCCACTGCGCAACGGGATACGTGATCGTAATACGATGTGGCTAATTGAAGAAAGTGCCACGGGTTACGCGAACCGCCCGCTACACTATCACGTCCTGATTTACAAACAAAATGCTTTCTTGATATAGATCACACGCGGCCGCAATTAATTGAGGCAGATGATTGTACGCGCGACGGTTTGCACTGCTAAACGCCAAGAGTCAACCTTGACACGAACGTGCGGCGTTTCCGAACGTTGATTTGCCATGAATACTTCACAGTCATACATGACAAATGGAGACAATCTGAAGAGTCGACGGAGCGATTCTGGAAATTTCGAAAGGTGCGCGAGCTGTTGGACATGGCGTTGTTGTATTGTTTTTGGTGGGTATCTGATTAGGGTTTAACATCGTATAAAAATCAGCTTTTGCATAAATATCAAACGGTTTCAAAAATTACATTCAAGTTTTCCGGACCGTAAGGTATTACAGAGGTGACCTTGCAACTAGTAATCGCCTTTTTGGGGTTTCGGAGTGGGAGGTTTCGGAACTTACCTGTGATGTGATTTTTAAGGGTACAAATGGCACATAGACTTATATTTTTTAGAAGACAAAGAAAATAAATTAAAGCAACCCTGAACATAAGCCCCCTAAGTGAAAAGGTCTCTTCTATATAAAAGTGTTACAAAAAGTACTTTCGATAAAAAAAAACAAAAGCAACTGCCTATATATCTCCTAGCAAACAGGTTTTTGCCGAGCAAAGGCCTTTGTGCAGAGGGTATTAGGGCATTCGACTACGCGAATCCACCACGGATTAGAGGACTTCACATATGTGATAAATATGTTTTAATTATAATTTCGAGATTTAGCAAATTTAGTTCAATGTTTTCCTTAAGCAATGATCACGTGATAAGTCAGCGCTTAAAATCGCAACTAACAATTCAATTGGTGCTGACATCGGGATTCGAATTCTGGTTGATCAAGTATATTGAATTACATACGAAAGCCCGGACACAGAGCTATCACGGCTGTTTATCGTGTGAAAAAATATTTGCATTATTCTAAAAAACATGGTACCCACACTACCGAAAAAATAATCAAAATCTTTTAAAATTTTAGGACTCATATGCAATTGGAAATCCTTTAAAAAGAAGTGGGGACTAAAATATCGCTTTACAAGAGCATTGAAGGAATATTCTGACGAGGTGTTTTATAATCTGACTCGGTGGCGCCGGGGGTTGGGGGTTCAATTCCCACTTCGGTCTTAAAAACCTAACCAATACGATAAGGGCAGAAAAAAAAGAAAATGGTGTTTTACATAAATTGATAAAAAATATTTCGATTGTCCAGATCTTTTAAATATAATAAAGTATCTTGTTCCTCAAATGTTCCACGAAAAGCTATAAAACTGTGTAAGTCTAAACAATTGTTTAAACGACAACCTTGTCAAGCAATGATATATTTTTTTATGTGAGAAAATAGGCCAGCTGGCGAGTCACCTGATAACCGCCGCCCATAGACATTTGCAACACCCGTAGGATTGCAGATGCGTTGCCGCCTTTTGATAAAGAGGGCTCCGAATACCTCACTCACCAGACAAAACGCGAGAATATCAAACTTCCAATTCACGCCGGTCTTCTGTTAGGTCGTCGTACTTCCCCGGACGAACCTGCCGTATGGTCTTACCAGTTTAAATAAGCATACCATCAAAAAATAATGGAATAATTTATTGAATTATTATTATTTAAAATCTCTGCGTAAATAAATAAATTTATTCAATTAACGTAAGGTAACCTCTAACCTACTTCTTTCGTTTTTACGGTTCCGTACCCAAAGGGTAAAACTGTAAAAAAAAGGGTAAGTCTGCAGCTATAACTGCAAATAATAAAAAAAACAAAACAAAAACATATTTAAATGGGGCTCCTATACATCATTTTCTTTTTTGCCGTTTTTATAGATAATGGTACGGAACCCTTCGTGCGCGAGTTCAACTCGCACTTGGTTCGACATTACCTCCAATGCAGGATAAGATTATCGCGTGTCGATGAATTGAACAAAAAGAAATTTCAAACAAAAATCAATTTAGACTTATCTATAAATACTACTAATTCTTTACTCAGGTGGGCATGGCACCTTTGACCGACGAAGTCTAAAACTGATCCAAACTCAACTGACATTCAAACTTCTAACTTAGTTTCTTATTGTGCATCTATATTTTATTATCGTTTTCATCTCCACGAGAATCCGAGTGCGGATATGATTCTATTTTAAACAAGATGATGCTAAGCCGTTGTTAATTTGTTGTATTGGTTAAAAATATATGAATCTAATGTCCATCCGATATGCTAAATAGTATTTTGTTCGGAGTTACGCAACCGAACAGCGACATTGTCACTTTGTGCATCTTAGGCATAGGCACATATACTAAAGTACATATGTACGTTTCATGCCTAATTTAATACAATATACCATTTTTGTACCGCGTATTTTTTATACCATTTACTATACCATAAAGTGTTAGTTTACCATTTAAGTGTTAATAAACCATTTATAGACTATAAAAACTCTCTCCCTGTACTACCTTCTTCATGGTCCTTCGAGCCGGATTGAATTGAAGACATTCTTGCGATGGTCTTATTTTGACATTAAGTAAACCAAAATTTAAACTGCCTGAATAATTGACATGAGCCCAATATAGTCTAAAGGCTAGCAACGTTTTCTAGAGAGAATTTCAGTTTTTAGATATGCTATCTCTCTCACTCTCCCGGACGTCATAAGGGCTATTTGGCGGGATATAGAGGTTGCGTTCAACAGTGCGCACCGTACCCGTTCATCAGTGCACATCGTACCTTTACGTGTAAAATATCAATGTGTTGCACCTAAAATGGATACTTAAACGCGTGTGATTAGAATTTCCTGCTATTCAATGTATAACAAAGTGTAACAACATACGTACGGAAGGAAGAAGTAATCACATTCCATTTAAATAGACCTGTGAATACATTAATAATTATATTATATACGATATAATTTTGTCAGCGCATCATAAGTTTAAATGATTGTTTAAATGCTCTAGATTATATGAGACGCAACGACGAAATAAGTAAGCAAATTAATTTTAAATCGACCTGGATATAGTTAAAGATCGTAATAACAGTGAGTCATTACGTTAAAGAGCTTCAGATTAGATGAGACGTGACGGTGTAATTAATCTAGCTGTCGTTTCTTAAAACAAAAAATATGTATTCAAATTTCTTTTAAATCGACCTGTAAATATTTAAGAAATTATACGATATAAATCACCGCATCTTGAGGTTAAATGCTCTAGATTAAGTAAGACACGATGGCGAAATTAATCTAGCTGTCGTTTCCTACACCTGTATTATCTCTGGAGACTAGGTTTCGGTGCGACAAACACCGTTTTTCTCAGTATTGAAACAGATATAAAAACCGATAATTTTTAAAGTTATAACAAATTAATAGTTTATAATTTAAGAGCCAGAAAAAATTTAATGAAAAACAAAATAGGGAAAAGATATTTATTCCTTATGTACAAATCAAGTCTTTACAAAAATAGGCCATATAGTCAGTTGTGTTCTAAGGATATCTGTAACCAGCTGGGGCGGCCTCGACAAGTTTGGCAGGCGCCGCGCGCACTACGGGAGTCACGGCGGGGGCGGGGGCGACGGCGAGACGTGCTGGTGATGGCACAGCTGCTACTGGGGCGCTATATGCTGCGGCAATAGGGGCGCTGTATGCTGCGGCAATAGGGGCGCTGTATGCTGCGGCAATAGGGGCGTTGTACGCCACTTGTGAGGTGTACGCGGCAGCGAAGGGGGCAGTGTACGCAGCGGTATAGGCGACGGGTGCTCTCACGGGTGCGGCGTAACCAGCGGATACGATGGGAGCAGCGGCGTAACGGGCTGCCGCGACGGGAGCGGCCGCGTAACGAGTAGCAACGACGGGTGCGGCAGCGTATCGAGCGTAGACCGGGGCGGCGGCGTAGCGAGCGTAGACAGGGGCCGGGGCGACTACCGGTGCTACCGGAGCTGCGGCGTACTTAGCGACTACGGGCGCGGCAACGGCCGGTGCGGCAACAGCGGGAGCAGCGGCGGCGTAGCGGGCAGCGACGGCGGGAGTGGCGACAGCGTAGCGGGCAGCAACAACAGCGGGTTGGGCCACGACGGGAGCTGCGACTTTAGCCGCAACGACTGGAGCAGCTGCAATGCGAGCTGGCACCACTGCGGGCTCAGCGACCACGGCGGGAGCAGCGGCCACCAGGGGCTCCTTCCGGACGACCGCGTTGAATCCATTCACGGAATCGGCGGTGTAGTCAACCGTGCGGAGGGTGCCGTCAGGCTCGACGAGCGAGTACTGGCCCTGCACTAAGTCCCCGTCGCGCTGCTCTTGTTGACTCTTGTAGTCACCGGTCAGTGAGTCGGCGACGTCATATCCAAATCTATACTGCGGCAACGGATCGTACTCCTCGATTTTGGCCAGCGGCGCTGTGTAAGCTACCGGTGCGGCGGCGATGGCGGCTGGTGCGCTGGCATAGGCCAGGGCCACGAAGCAGGAGAAGATCACGAACTGTAAAAGTTTTGATGTGTGTTACGATGATGAAAATATAAAAATTATCAAGATTAAAACAGTGTCATTTAAGATGTCACATCAATTACTCTGCTCGATGTCTCAAATAAAAGTGATTAGTCTCCAGGACAAAGCAAAATGACCATCCATCTATATATAAGACAAATCAGTGGCGTCTTCGTATGATGATAACAAAATAATTATCAATAAAGATAATATGGAAGGGGAAAAGTTGTAGGATGACGAGTTCCGTCGATTGGAGCACATAGCACTTTCACGATCACTTTTTACTAAAACTTATTAGCACTTCACATAAATCCATAGAGGCGTACCTTGAAGACCATTTTGATTGTTCCTCCGAGTGGTGCACTGGGATGCTAGGAGCTGTGAAATGTGCACCCCATTAGACGGCGTTAGCATTTATAGTGGTTGGCGTAGTACGGTTGCCTCATCCCGAGCGCATCTCCAAATTTGAATATATTCAAGTACGCACGTACGGGCCGGCCCGTTGGAGCGCTGGACAATGATGCGTAAACAAAGCCACCACTTGTGCAACTGGGCCGGGGCTGCGCCGTCGCGGTCACGCCGAATCATCACTGGACTCTGAAAACCACCGCTCGCGTCTACTGCAACACCGCTTCACGGTTCGAAACACCTTTAAACAAGCACATGCAGACGTCAGAAAAAGTATTGCGAATTTTGTCTTTTCTCTTAGAGAAACAGGGGGTAACGGAGGACTCGAGAATCAATTCACATCACAATTCAATTCATAAGTCAACTGCCGGCTTAAACCGCGTTTACGTATAGATTTTTTCACAGATAACAGACTTGTTGCAATGCTAATTCGGAAATAGGCATGTAACAGTATACGTAGTGAGCTCGCCAACGAAGCTATCATCATCATCAGATGATGATCTTGCATCATTAATTAATTGAAACATACACCTAGTAATGATGACTCCTTGGCGTAGCTGCCAAGATTTTAGCTTCTGCGCAGGGGTCCTCGGTTCGGTACAACTATTTTTTGTTTGGATCTGGGTCTTCGTTCACGTGAAATTTATTTATATATGTCCTTACAACACAGGATAAAGGTTATCCATACAGTAAGGAGCCAATGTTTTTGAAGGGAAGACTACGATAGATATTCTAGGTCACAGTGGTCATTTGAACTTACTAACTCCTTCCACAATAAATACGAATACAAAACACATGATAATGTAAAATCACAAAGATGATAAGATTACTAAAGATTAGACTACTAAATTTTTCTAAGGACGCTCACTCCTTCTTTCAATTTTCGTTCATCTTGCCGTTGTGGCAAACAGCGCGAGATAACTTTCGTTAAATTGAAGCGTCATTTTAATTCAGATTTTGTTCATCATTTCATCATCATTCAGTTGATTATATGAAGTTCGTGGAAACTAAGCATCAAGTCACGCGCTTCCCACAGTTTACAGGCTAAGAACGCTCATATAAATATTGATCTAACATTCTTTTTAATCTGTTCCATAATCAACTTACTATAGATTAAGACTGCCATTCGACTATCTAAATAAAGCTTACCAGATCATAAATTATTTACTCCACTGACAAAAATCGTTTGATGGTAAATTGAAGTCTTTCAAAACTACGCCAGTGATCTAGATTAGAACCAGCGTCTAATTTAATTTGGCGAACAGACGCAGTTGCTGAATTAATCAGAGAGATAACCGATTGCGCAACAACAATTGAAAAATTAAAAACAAGTTTGCTGTTCACACAGGTTCTAAATGTTACCATATTTTACGAGTCAAAAATGTACTATAAACAACTGAGTGAGGGTATGATCCCATCAGTACTGTTTAATAACCGACAAGACATTTTGGTAAAGGTAAGGTAAGATCATATTAAGAGCATCTTCTTCATAAACCCCACTGTACCCTCTCTGAACAGAGGGTATTAGAGCATAGTCCGATACACGAATTTCCATTGCAGATTGATAGGCTGAGCCGTTCCCCGCGGAGCACGTGGTAAGTCAGCATTCCAAAGTTAAGAACAATTTCTCTGCTGCGAGGTCCAGAATTTCAACCCAGTTTTCTCGAATATAAAGAAATAAAAGCGCGCACCCAATATAGAACAATATTTTATAGGTGAAGGTAGTAAACTAGCAAGCGGTACCTGAAGATAATTAATTAAATTCGTCAATGGATAACGGCAACCCCAAATGGGCACAGACATATTCAATATTCATTATTCACAGTCACCCTTAAAGAGAGCTGATTTATCTCACTAGACAAAGCATAGAAATATAAATATTACATTAATTATTTAATAGAAGAATTGTCAATCAAAGAATATAAAACGAAAAATATGTAACGATAGTCGAAATTATCTATAAGTAATTAAAAACGACAGAGCTGAGACATTTTATTTTACAAATTTTTAAGATAATCAAATAAATAAATAATTAATTCAAATCTAAGTACATGACTTTCATTATCGCCAATTAACATATCTGTAACAAATTAATTAATGATTTGTAACAGGTTTCGATTTTAACATACAGTTCGAGTACATAGAGTAGGTCATTTTGGCAGCTGCATCCTTGACGCAAGGTGAACCTACATATTACATCAGCTAGAATTCATTTGTGTAGTGGAAGTAATTTGTAAAAATAGAGCAATAAAGGTTTCTTTTGGTGATAACTATATGACGTCCTATAAATCAGTCGAAACTGTCTTTTATATTTTGAAAGAAATATTCAAGTTTATTTTATTATTAAATATTAATATTAATTTTCAAAAATAAATTATAATAAAAGTAGAAAATTTATTAATTCATTCTTGCACCGTCATCAATTTATTATAAAGTAGGTACTAAATCTTTAACTTTTTAAGACAACTAGCCGCATGCGCGTCGGTACATTGAACTAAGCTGGTTTTATCTTAAGTTCTGATATAACACAGTATAATCTTTTCGATTAATTTTACTGCGTTAAGAACGTTTAATTCATAGTGTACGTACGATAAGTTATGGACCATAGTTTTTTTTGTGAACTCATTTTAATTGATAAAAAATAAAATTTTATATCTCATTTTATTTTAAAGTGCTATTGTTATAAAGGAACTATATTAACAATAAAATTAAATAAATTAGCTTAAAAAAAATCACCCCAATATTGTGTAACAATATTGTTTAAAAACAAAAAGTGTTAAAGTTTATTAATAAAAAATGCACGTGTCATGGCGCCCCTACCCCTGCCTGCTGCCAAGCAATGAGCGATGAAAATGCGCGGCAAACATTTTGCCCGTGTTGCGTACGCGTCCTTCACAAGGCTGCGCGTTTCTGCCAGCCATTGTGTAATTGATACGACTAACACAAACCTTCGCGCTAATATATACTAAGGATTCCAATTCGTCGATATAAGGCCAATTTGTAATCCTATGTGTAACTAAGTATGTTTAGCAGCGAACCTTTACATACAGATATCATAATTTCCTAAACGTTTCACAGTGAGAAATAGACATCTCTGCTATTTTTAGTAACTGCGCTAATACGTATTTTGTTCAAAAATATAAACTAAGAATTAATGAAATGTTATTGCCGGTAAACATAACCTAAATGTCCCTACTTCTGTGACCAAGAGAATGTAGACGGCATTAAATCAGAAGACTTCTACACAGCAGCAGTCAATAAAAATGTCAAGCACTCCATTATCGTTACATGCAAAGCCCAAAGTCCCACGCTTGATAATGTCATGTGCACTTAGATTTAAACAGTGTTTCAACCTTACGACTCCGTAATAAGTGCCATAATACTCTTTGATATACCAGTCTTCAACACGTGGTTGCACTGGTCATTTCAAGGCACACTGGCTACAGTACGCAGTTATGAAATTCGCATGCTCTGCGTCGCGAATAATAAGTGTTCATATTATTTCAAATGTCTGAATTATTTATGTCCATACTTTCTTATATTGCGTATTGTGCAAGCGAAATAATAATAAAATTAAAGTAACGGCCTAAATAAATCTTCCTGGTCCACATTATTAAAAAGTAATAACACCATGGAGTTCTACCAATTAAAAAATTAAAAAAGTAGTTATTTTAATATTGTCACTAAAGGAATGAAAAGTAGATAACAATATATAAAATAGAACATAAAACACTATATTATTCATATGTTTATAAATAAATTCGTGAGAATGAGATGTATGATAATTTTTAAAATATATTACATTATTTACTAGTATTTAGGTCTATTATATTATATGCATATTATGAGCTGAAGCTGGAATGCGTACTAGCGTATAAATTTCGTTTGATGGGAATATTCTCTCCAACTTTAACTTCGGGACCCATCCCCTTTTTTAATTTATCAACTGACCTGCCCCATTCATTTAGTTGTCCATTTTCCCATTACCACAACAATGTTAATTAATTTTAGAAGGAATTATAATAGAGTTCTTTTATTTTTATTTTAGTTGGTAGCAAACAGTAAATTCTAAAAGTGTAAAAAATAACAATAAAATACACGGAAATAAAATAGTTCCGGAAATCATCTTATCCTTTAAACGAGCAATTCTTGTATATATATATATATAATAGGTATCTCGGAAACGGCTCCAGCGATTTTCATGAAATTTAGTATGTGCATAGATTTGGGGGCGAAAAATCGATCTAGCTAGGTTTCATTTTAGAAAATGTCCTTTTATCCCTGTTTTCAGGGAATGAAAAATATAATTCGAATATGACGGTAAATTTCGCCGCAAGAGAAAATGTCAAAATAGCTCGGTCGGTAATCGGGCGGCCTCAAAACAGACGGCCGTGGTTCGCGTCACGATCATTTACACATTTATTTTTTTACTTTTTTTCGATTGCAGATCATTGCTGTCTTTATTTTTAATTTTTTGTTGATTTGTTATTTTGTTATTTTTTTCCCTTTTTTTTAAAGTTCTTTCTTTTGTGAAAAACATCAGTTCACATTTTCTTATTATTACGTCGGTAAGATCGAAAAATATTATGCATATTTCATTACTCAATAATTTGTATCTAAATGTAATTTCCAAAATACACGATTTACCAAAAAAAAAAACAAACCTCTTCTTCTTCCGGGTCTTCCGGGTACTTATAATTATTAGAACACCACAAACAAGGAAACTACAGGAAACTGCTGCTATTGTTAATCAATATTTACAGTAACTACGATAAGCTGTACCATTATTAACAAATTGTAAATCTACACAGTTTTGTAGATAGCCAAAGTAAAAAGTAGAAAATCATTTTAAATTAAGTATGATTGAGTATGATGTAATAAGTCGTGATAGCTCAGTGTCCGGGCGATCGCCTTTAATTCAATATACTTGAGAAACCTGAGTTCGATCCCGGGTGCCAACACCAATGAAATTGTTAATGTTAAGTGCTGACTTTATCACGAGCTTAACGGTGAAGGAAAACATCGTGAGGCAACCTGCATATTTTCGAAATAACAAAAGAAAATATTTCGAACATAATATTATGTTCGCCAATCCGCAGTGGAGCCGCGTGGAGAACTATGCCCTGATACCCTCTGTAAAAGAGCAGGCCTTTGCCCAGCAGTGGGATCTGTGTAGACTG